CAAAAGATAAGATAGAACTTTATTGATCCTGCAGGAAATTGTACACATTAATTTAATTGAAATGATAAATTACCTGTACAGATATTACTTAATTTCCATACTTATGGTACAAAATAAAATTCTTAATTCTGCCAGACAAATCAAATTACCTGAGCACTTTTTTCGCATTCATCGATCGCGGTTTGTTCTTCCTCAAAGAACACTCTGATACAGTATATCGTACATAACCTTCAAGCTCTACTTTAAATGGAGACAAAGTTATACCCATGTTTTGTGTTTCCTAATAAACACCCAGACATCATATTTCTGTACAGCGCTTCAGTGTTCAACTGCAGATCAATGCACTTTCCAAAACAGAACAATTTACCACTGTGAGATTATTCAGGAACAAACTGCGTGGATTACATTCCCTTGTAGAGCTGTTGCTTCTGCGTCCTGTCCCCTTCACATGCTGCCAGCATGCCGGGCTAACGAGTCCCGCAGCTGCTTCGTACATGTTCTTGGCTTGAAATGTCTTTTGTCTGTCCTTGAAACTGCATTGCATTCAGGGTACCTCAGGTGAATGGATGCCACATCGCTCTTTGGTGCATAAACGAAACACTGTTGTTCTTGCTTGTTGAAACGTCTGATGGACTGAATAATTTAAGATATGGGGGCACCACAGGTAAATCGAAGCATTCATTATGAATGGCTGCCAACTGGTGTTTGAGTGTAAAGGAAGAATGAAACAATGTAAGCCTAAAGTTAAATATGATGTACTGATGGAATGGAAGGAAGTTTGAAAACAGGACAAATAAGAATAACAGGGCTTTAGCTGTTTACTTTGTGATTTCCTTCTTATGTAATTTCCCTCTTGAAGACTTCCACATGGATTTGTAACAATGGATGAGTTGCACATACCGTTGAACTTCCTGTATTATGAAACCAGACTAGTGAAACTTGTGTACTGAAAAGAAACAATTGTCATATTGTAAGAATGTTGAGCCTCGAGATCAGCTTGGTGGGAGAATTTCTGCTGCACTAAAGGGAATACAAAGGAAGTTAACAAAAGGGTTTCGTGGTACATGTGACCAAAGACCTTCAAAGAACAGGACTAACTAAAAGAAATACTGTGCAACACGATTTTACGTCACACTTGCTGCTGCATTCTTGCCAACAAGTAAAAAGCTCAGTGGCGCTTTGAAAATTTAATGACTTAAATAGTCCATTCAGATAGCACTCCTTCCAACAACCGTTTAACCTGAATCCATTTGCAGGAGTGGGCAGTAGTAGAGTCCTGTGGTTTAGAGTGATAGAGCCTAACACCTTACAGCTTATTCATTGACAACATGTTTAATTTATGGTCTAAGAAAGTAGATGAGCTAAAGAAGCATGGATTGAGGCACTGCTTGAGTAAACTCCATATACAGTAAATCCAGTCATCAGCTTTCAAGAACATCAGTGAGAGTCTACTTCTTTTACTGCAAATAAAAAAGAAATACATTCTACATTCTGTTACCCCTCTGTAAGTTTATAGACACTGTCATTTCACAAATTCAGATAAAAATAATTAAGTCACTGTAAGTAGGTGTAGTATGACATATGCAGGATATATTCATACTTTTTCACGAGTTCTTCATTTTTCTGACTGTGTAAATGTCGTGCGTTGAGTTTAACAGAAATGCGAACGAGAGACGTTATTTATCTTTGACCCATCAAATGAATGCGGTCATTTATTTGCAGAATCAAAGTTTAACATCAAACATTTACATTAATTTGGCAAAATATGAAAACAATAACAATGGCAAGTTCACAGAAAGTGGACAATACGGCGATTGTACTCACTTCTCAGCAGAACAACAGACATCAATCACACGGCGGTGATTGAGAACTTTGCTTCAGATATTTCTAAAATATCTGTAATGATTTTAGGAGAAAGGAGAGTTTAAGATGGAAAATGGAGATTTATCTTACAGAGAGATGTGTGAGGGAATTTATCTGTAGGACCAGAACAACACGCTCTTTGGGGAATCAGCTTGGCCACGGTACGCTTGGTCGAAGTAGAACCTTTACCTGGTTGATGATAAAATCAGCGTCGGCGTAGGGTTCCTTTCTGACTCTTTCAGCGTCTCCGTGAGGACTGCCAAACCCTTAGGAGTCGTGAGAGGTTATCCAAACAGAAGTTATAATTCCCAAAATCCTCTCTGCATCCTGGATTGTCAGAATTCTGAACTCCTTCAGAACTCTCTTCAGAGAGTTAAACTCTGGAACTCTTCTCCATGAGCTGCATCAGAGAGTTTTTCATCTCTCTTCTCCAGGAGAACTGTCACTCTTTGTAACTCTTTTTCTCTTTAACTCTTTAACTCTGGCGAGAACCGGGAAGTTGCCACATTTAAATGGGTTGACTTCCGGGTCATTTTAGAGCTTTCTGATTGGTGGATGGACCAGATCAGAGGTGTGGTTTGTGATGTAAGGTGTTATCAAAGTCAAGGGCAGAGAATGAGATTGTTTAAAACAGACAGAAAGATTATTGGAGAAAACCAGACTTCGTGGAGTCAAACTCTCCTGTATCTTCTGTGAAAGTTAAACATGACATTTCTTCTCGGTAAACATTTTAGTTGACCGAAACTCGACCTTTAACATACTTACAAATTTGCTCATTGAAGACAGAAAAATCAAGAAATGCATATTACCCTGATTTCTTCCTTGAATGAGGAATAAAAATCATTACTTACTGTTTATGTAAAATAAAAATGAGTAGTTCTCTTCAACCTGTAAACATTGAGTGAACTAACACAATTTGATTATCAAACATTTGTAAAATAGTAATGATTATAGAGGATTGTCTTTTCTACTTGATTAATTCAAGAAAGAAAGTCTCAGGATGGCTCAAACTGTATTTCTGGATGCAGATCAATGAAATAACAGTCTCTGTCCATCTGGTCAGTTTTGACATAGGCCTAGTCCACTACATAGGTTCTTACTGTACTTTTGTTTGAAAATGACATAAATCAGCCATGAAGCACCTTCTTACTATCCATCCATCCATCCATCCATCCAATATCTTTACCCGCTTCTTCTTTTTTGGGTCATGGGGGTCACTGGTATCCGTGTCCAGCTATCACTGGGCGAGAGGCGGGGTACACCCTGGACAGGTGTCCAGTCCATCACAGGGACACATAGAGACAAACGAGACAAACAACCATTCACACTCTCACTCACACCTAAGGTCCCAGTTACATAAAAAAAAAGTATTAAAATGTAAAAGAAAAACAGTAATAAGATCTAAGATGTGAATTAAGAAAAACGTTAATAAAAAATACGCTAAGCACTAATAGCATTAAAATAATACACCGAACAGCAGCACGAACATGAGTCTGTGTGAGCAGATGAGCACGAATGAACACATCAACATGAAACAGATCAGCAGCAACATTGAAACAGATCAGCAGCAACATGATGTGATTCTTCATAGTGATTATCCTGATTAGAGATTCATGAGTTTAACAGCCTCAGGGTAGAAGCTGTTCCTCAGTCTAGTGGTTCTACACTTAATGCTCCTTAACCTCCTTCCTGAGGGGAGCGGGGCAAAAAGTGTGTGTGCTGGGTGAGTGTGGTCCTTCATGATGCAGGTGGCCCTCTTCCTGCATCTAGAGGTGTAGATGTCTGTGATGGTGGGGAGGCTGACTTGATATGGCGACCTTCTTGCTGAGAGGCAACAGCTCTACCAACTGATCCACCGTGCCACCTGCACCTTCTTACCATCTGTTGTTTATAAATGGGGATGGCTTCAAGGCAACCAGCTGCTGTTATGACTCTGAGCTGCCAACAGACACAGTAACAGAGGTGTAATAGTCATTGTGTAAAAAGATTAGCTGGCTTGTGGCTCCATGGTGTGATGAAGTGATGACGAACAGTCGATGTGACCAGCCAACCATAAATTTTAAAAAGGGAGATGTTCGACATTTAATTCGTAGCACTTCAAGTCATCTTTGGTTTTGCCATGCTCGTTTCATTTTTGAACGCTCACGTCTCCGTGTGGCATCGCAGACTTAACTGTTGTTAAATTACTGGCAGAGGAAGTTGGAAGAGTGACTCGTCTTTTCGACCATGTCACAGAACTATTTCTTTAAAGAACCCAATCTAAAATCGGGTAATCCTGCAAAGTACTGTTTGTTTCATTTTGTACATTTGTTTATGCTTAGATAGTGTTTGGAAAGTGATTTTTCTGTTGTGTTTCAGATGTCATTGGCAGTACATACATAGTTTTTTTTCCCCTGTACATGTAGTTGCCAAAAAAAAAAAAAAAAAA